GAACTCCTCACCAGATCACGGAGAGTGAGCCCGGAAACACTGCGGGAAATCCGTCTCTCTCCAGAAGAGAGAAAAAAAGTAATATATTTTTTTTTAAGACACGATTTTATGAAATGTACCGAACTAGTAATGGCAGAACTCCACAATTCCAGGAAGTGGCCCCGAAGCTTCCCATAACGTAAGGGGACCGTGGTCAATTACAGCCAACGTCAGTTGAGCGTGGACAATTAGAGCCAAGCCGAAACATAACATATAAAAAAATAACGTTAAAAATATTAATTTTAATGATAGAATATAGTATTGTCATCAGTATGACATAAGTATACCAAGTTTGCAGTCGATACCACATTGGGAAGTGGGTTAAAATTGAGTTGCAAGATTTGAGGATACAACGCCAACAACAATAGACAGAGCGAGTTAAAAGAAAGCGTGTAAAAATAAACGCAAAATATTCTTTACACAAACCCATTGGGGTTCCCAGGGTCCGCTGAGGTGGTGCAAAACTTCCACCAGCACCGATTTCAAAACGGCACAAGCAAAAACTGTGGACCCGCCTCGACACGTCCCGTCATGGGTAGAGAGTCGCCCCCGCTTGAAACGATGTTTAGTGAATCGACAGATGCTGCGGGCAGGGAAGCCTCCCGTGAAAGACACGAGTCCTAGCTTGACGCAGCGTTACGTAATATATGACGTAATACAAATCAAGCACAAGCGTCGTTGTACGTAGGCGAGCGTGTTAATCGAAAGTTGTAAGAGAATTTAAGCAAATTTTGATTTAAAGCTTTCGTGACTGCAGGGATTAATGTTTGGTTCTTTCGGTAAAGTCACGTAGAAGGGAAACAAAAAAATAATAAAAATATAAAACAATACAATTCTCACGACCTTTCGACTGCAACACAAGCAATCATCATCAGGTGTGAAAACCACAACACCTGATGATGATTGCTTGTGTTGCAGTCGAAACGTCGTGAGAATTTTAGTGTTTTAAATTTTTATTATTTTATTGCTTCCCTTCTACGTGACTTTACCGAAAGAAGCAGTAAACGAAATAAGCGGATGGTGTTTCTCCTCTTGCGGAGAGGTTTGCAATGTTGCTTATGTGTAATGTTGCTGATTCTGGAGACGTCGGACGCGGGTCTTGGAGGCAACACTATTTATTTAACACAACGTTCGGCAGTGCAACCCGGCACACTCAGGGCAACAGTCCTTCTATCACCACTGCCTGGGGAAGTACTGCTTCCGGGCTAACGTGCCCTAATACGGGACTGCTCCTCTGGGTCCTCCGGCTATGGCTGCTATAAAAATGGCCACGTGATAAGCCACTTCGTTGAGCTGTCATTTGTGGCCAAGACGCCAGGTCGCTTCTGAAAAGAGCTGTATAGCTCACTGGGCCTTACCCGGGAGCACTGCACGTCCAACGTGGGAGACGGAGCAATGCAATCTGCTCATGTGCAGGTGCCGGATGGATTGTTGCGTTGTAACAGGTTCGTTTAAGGTTCACCGGGTTACAGAGATGGACATTGGAGTGGGCCCCTGGGGGGGGGGGCAGGAGCCAAGGGGAAGACCCAGAGCAGTGGGGGACCACTTTCATCGATAAGATCTAATACAGTACATTCGAGCCTGCATGCGGTGTGAGGGGACTAGTGGCCACGGGAGGGAAGGACAGGGGTATCAGCTGTGAGTGCGAAGGGACTGGTGGCCACGGTGCTAATGACAGGGGTATCAGCTGTGAGTGTGAAGGGACTGGTGGCCACGGGAGGTAATGACAGGGGTATCAGCTGTGAGTGCGAAGGGACTGGTGGCCACGGGAGGTAATGACAGGGGTATCAATTGTGAGTGCACAGGGACTGGTGGCCACGGGAGGTAGTGACAGGAGGAGTCAGCAGTGAGTGCGAAGGGACTGGTGGCCACGGGAGGTAATGACAGCGGTATCAGCTGTGAGTGCGAAGGGACTGGTGGCCACGGGAGCTAATGACAGGGGAGTCAGCTGTGAGTGCGAAGGGACCGGTGGCACGGGAGGTAATGACACGGGTGTCAGCTGTGAGTGAGAAGGGACTGGTGGCCACCGGAATGATCGAGAAGGGAGCGTGGTCAGGTGACGGAAGTGGATGGTGGAGTCTGCCGGTGGAGCAAGTGTCCAGAGTCAGCGAGAAGGTTCGAGAAGGGGGGCGTGGCCTTGTGTTGGTATATAAGGGGGAGATGCGCGGGAGACTCGGGGCTGTTGCGGTGGGGTCTCCGCCTGATGTAAAGTGAACGCGTCTTCAATGAAGTGCCATCTCAAGAGAAGTGTCAAGTCATTACACATTTAGAAATGTAAATATATAAATTTGTCATTCTAGGTGAGATTTCAGGACCAACATACAGCAGCGTTCTTCACTACTTTTCAGAGGGGTGGGGGGGGGCACTTTCACCGACGATAAGACATCAGTGTGAGCGAGGTTGCCGCTACACATTTGAAACCATTGTTGTTGGGTTTGACAGCAGCACGATGATGATGATGGGGGAGGGGGGGTGTTGTCACTTTTGCGTCTTGTCGGAGGGGGGGGGGGGGGCACCAGGGGGGCCGCTAGTGGCCGTGCAGGGCCCTGTAATGAAGAGCACCGACCTCGAGACCGATGGGTGTGGGAGTTTGTCAGAGCGGTAATTCAGACGCTGCCGTCGCCAACATTGCAACATTCCGGCGTGAGGTGTGCCTGGACCAGACACAGCAGTGCCCTCGTTGGCATGTCCGGCGGTGGTAACGAGTTCAGTGTTGTACACAATACCTTTGTTTAAATACGAGAAATACAAAGTGAATCGGTTATCGCATCGTATTCTATTTTTATCGGGCGGTTATAACCAAATGATCGCCACGAATGTTTGTCTAATTAGCACTCCTGTCACATGGCATGTACTCAAAACTGAATCGACGCCAAAGCGACTTTGCTTTTGCGACCAGATGAGAATGACTGCAATCGTCTCTTCTTCTCCAAAAAGGGGGAGACCTGGGATAAAGCGCACAACAAAAACACAACGATGTACTGCACAAAAAACGCGTTTCAATGCGCTTAAGCAAAATTTAACAGGGTGGCCCAAAAGTTAGGACACTCCTGGAAATATTTATATTTTAGCAAATCACGCAGCGTTGTGTGTACGTATGTTGAACTTCTTTCACATCATACCTAGACAACCGTGCTAATCGTAGGTGCGGGTTATTTAATGAATTTGAGCAAATGTTCAAATTGACGACCATTGACATTAATGCATGCATGAATTATCTTTTGAAACGAATGTAGGATTGTTTTTGTTACTATTACAGCTGCCTTCTTTAGCATGCGTTTATAAAACGAATTGAACTCATTCGTCTTTGGGTATATTTTTTATTTCCATTTTTTAAAGAGTCATCTGAAAAGGAACAACAAAAATAGATATTAATGACGATCGAGAAAAACATTAACGTAAAGAATAAACATTAAAAATATGTTAAAGCTGGTGCTGCAAGAAACAAATGTTATAACCGTAATGTGTCCAACCATAACCACAATCATATAAACAGAAATATATTTTATAGCAATATATTGGGGGGGGGGGGACATTCTGAGCATATTTGAACATTGGGGGATGTGTGTCCCCCCCCCCCCAATATTTATTATAATTGCGGCCTTGCTTTAACCGTGGCAATTTCGTAGCCGTCAACCCGTACGGTTTACCACGTGATCTTGGGCAGGGAAATTGAGTTTGCAGGTCCATGCCGCGTACAGCCGTTACCAATACGGGCAACTTTTTTTGTGTGTCTAATTTGTTTGTGTTTCTCCCTTGTGATGATGGCACTTTGTAGGATGAACGTTGAGATTTACTCAGGGGCACGGGGTGACCAGTAAGGTCTGAATTGGTCTGTGATAAGGTAGGGAGGGCACTGGGGTTGATAGACGTGTAGTGGTGAGTGTACAAGTGAGTGTAGTGGTGAGTGTCTAATTTGTTTGTGTTTCTCCCTTGTGATGATGGAACTTTGTAGGATGAACGTTGAGATTTACTCAGGGGCACGGGGTGACCAGTAAGGTCTGAATTGGTCTGTGATAAGGTAGGGGAGGGCACTGGGGTTGATAGGCGTGTAGTGGTGAGTGTACAAGTGAGTGTAGTGGTGAGTGTCTATTTGTTTGTGTTTTTTCCCTTGTGATGATGGGACTTTGTAGGATGAACGTTGAGATTTATAAGGGACACACGGTGACCAATAAGGTCTCTGAATCGGTCTGTTCGAAGGTAGGGCACCGATAAGGGGTTGACAGCTGTGTAGATTTGAGGATATTGTTTGATGATGACTCCCAGAGAATGGCGTTGCAGGGGTCAAAGCGAGACTCGATTGCACTGCTGGCGAGGCTGGTCGACACCCTCTGCTTCAGAATGAATTCTGGGTGCTCCCCCCACCCCCCCCCTATTCTGCTCCTGTGAATTAATAATAAAAAAACACATTTAAATTATTATTTCACTTTTAAAAAATGTAACGCAATGATGCGGTGCAGTTGCGTCATTGGCATACTCGCCGTCGGTGACGTCTTGATGACCTCACGTGACAACGTCCATTGGCGCAGCTAGTGGGGGGGTGGCACGTGCCCCCCCCCCCCCCAATGATCATCGAAATTAGGGATCGAAATTAGGGCGTACGGCTTTTGGCGTCATCTGGTCGAGCACCAATTGGGTCGAGGCTCAAAAGAAAGCCGTCCCTTGGTGTGGACCAATCAGTTTCAAGGACAATGCATCATATATTATCATAGCATGTTTTAATGTTTGCATTTTGACTGCAGGTATTGTGGTTAATGCAGTAACATGAATCCTTGTAAAAAGGTTTCAGTTTTGTTGCCAGAACAAAGGGGAAAAACCCTATTATTACATTTTGGTACTGGCAAAGGAGGTCAAATGATGTAGAAACTCCTTACTTATTACTAACAACTCCTCTATCATTTTTCATTGCTGGAGGGGTTGCCTCCCCCCCCCCCCCACCCCGACTTGAAAATCCCGGCTCGGCCATTGACGACGTCTGCACGGCTGGTGGTGGATGATGTGGGGGGGGGGGTGGAGGTGGGGGGTCATTCTTGTGCACCGCCCTCCCCAACACATCCACAAAGCGCGCACTCTGCGCGCGCGCGCGCCCTCGCAGCGTCGCTCTTGAGCGTCACCTGCAGGCGAAACAAAATAGATTAAAATCAAAACAAACAATATCACCGGCGAGAAGCCACGACGGTAATCTTCATTATTGAAACGCCGTGGGGTGACTGTCCGACACGCCGGTGTGTTGGAGAGTAACGAATTGGCACGTTTTGTTTACGTGGCGAACCTTACTAATTGACGGTATCGGGTGGTGGTGGGTTAATGACACGTTTCTATTTACGCGATCTAAGGGGCCGTCCATAAATGACGTCACGCGATTTTGGACGATTTTTGACCCACCCCGCGTCAAACGGCGTCACAAAAAGTCAGACCCCCCCCCTGAAATATGACGTCACAAAGCTCTGCCCCCGCCCCCCAAAACATATTTCCATTTTGAAAATACAACATGCTTCAAATCGCTTTAAACTATTGTCATTGTTGTGCGTATTTCATGTGGCGCTGCACTCTGATGTCGTAGGAGAAAACATTTATTTAAAAGTCTATTTACTTAAGTAGAACGTGTTGTCTATATTTATTTAAAGTTGCGCATTTTGATGTGACGTCACGTTTCTCAACCCCCACCCCCCCCCTCGTCACACATCGTCACAAATGTCTGACCCCCCCCCCCCAGGTGCGTGACGTCATTTATGGACGGCCCCTAACCCGTGTCGCCTTTGTAGCTGAACTTTTGCCCATAACAGTCTGGTAAATGCCATACGGTGGGGCGTCTTTGTCATTAAAGATCGAGCTGAGATCAATCGGCTCTCTAGAATGGAAAAAAAAACAGCTTAGTTACCTAATCAAACTTATGGCCTCAAGGAAGTTGGCACTGTTGCGCTCACAGCCCCTGCAGGCTAATAAACACCGTGATTTGTTTGCATAATACCGTACAATTAACTACCTTAAGAATGTTTCCTCTGTAAAGTGGTTCCAAATAAATTGCGACCTTTTTAGGCTTATAGTGCCGTTTATATGAGGCAGCTCCTCTTTGAACAACGAAACGTAATTCATTGTACACAAAGCCCAGCCCGAATGTTACTTGACTTAGAAGAGCGTCACAAGTTTCCAAAGTTTAAGCAGTCCGCCACAATGAGAAAAAAACACATTGTCCAACACACACTTACGACCAATATCCATAAGAGTTTTTTTTGGGTTAGATCGCGTAAATATATTAATGCGTTGTTAAACCCGCCACCACCCAACACGGCCAACTAGTAAGGGTTGTCACGTAAACAGAACGTGCCAATTCGTCACTGGTACAGCACACCGGTGTGTTGGAGAGCCAAGCTGGCTATCGCCTGATGAAGCTAGTTGTAATTATTGGCAAAACGTCGTACTCTGATTGTAGATGTTGCAGCTTGGCTCTCTCACACACCGGTGTGCTGTACTAGTGTAGTGGGTTCACTTTAGAGACACACTAATTCAGGAGGCAACACGTTTATTCTACGACCACAACGGCGTAACTACATAACCAGTAACCACCACGGGGTAATTACATAACCGGTAACCAGCATGGGGTAACTATATAATCCGGTCAGGTCAGTCGGCACACTGCTTGACCCACGGTGCCGAGCACGAAGACCGGAGACCGAGGAGAAGACATAGCATGGCGGGTTCCATTCCAGCAGACAGCCCCGATGCAGCCCCGGGACCTCCATTTTATGCCCCCCAGCGTGGCCTGGCTCCGCCCTCGGCCACGCCCCCTTCTGGAACTCACCAGAAGATTCTGAGCCCTACACCACGTATCCCTTCTGTCACCTTTGGCCCACATCCTTACCCTGTCACGTGCCCTTGCCAGCCAACCGGGCTGCTACGTCCTCAGATGCCCCCTCTCAGCCAGCCACCAGAACCATGCTCCCATAGGGACCCTTTCCATGACACAGCGTACCCTGCTGGCAGAGAGGGCTACTACACTCCCAGTTACCCTCTCTATCAGTAACTGGCGCTAGGCGCCGTAGTGACCCATTATATGTCACTACACTAGTAACGAACTGGCCACGTTCTGTTTACGTGACAACCCTTACTAGTTTGCTGTGTCGGGTGGTGGTAGACGACACTTTTATATATTTACACGATCTAACCCAAAAAAAGCTCTTATGGACACACTTGCATACCTATCAACCCATACGGTTTACTCTGCATTCTTGTACTGTACAGGGAAATTGAGTATTCAGGTCTAAACGGCGTACAGCCGTTTCAATACGGGCAAAATTGTTTTTTTTGTCTATTTGTGTTTCTCCATTATGATGGTGACTTTGTAGGATGAATGCTGAGATTCATAAGGAGCACGGGGTGACCAATAAGATCTGAATTAGTCTGTACTAAGGTCGGGCACTGATAAGGGGTTGACAGGAGTGTACTAGTGGTGAGTGTGTAGTGGTGAGTGTACGATTGGTGAGTGAGTGTAGTGGTGAGTGTACGAGTGTACAAGTGGTGAGTGTAGTAGTGGTGATTGCCTATTTGTTTGTGTTTCTCCATTGTGATGGTGACTTTGTAGGATGAACGTTGAGATTTATATGGGGCACGGGGTGACCAATAAGATCTGAATTAGTCTGTACTAAGGTCGGGCACTGATAAGGGGTTGGCAGGTATGTACTTGGTTTGTAAATACTGAGATCACAACGCACTGCAAATGCATATATACATACTTTAAACACTTTGGGCAAGTGCTGTTGGCGATGAGCACCCAATGAAGGCCGACACGGCGCACTAGGGAGGGGGTGGCCGGCAAACACCAAGCCTGGCCGCCTTTGTCTCTCACCCAGTGATGATGTTTACGAGGCCGAGTCGACTTAAAGAGAAGGAGAACCAGGACCGGTTCAATTACTCCCCACTGTTTGTTGGTCGCGAGCGGGAATCGAACTCTGGTGGCCGGTTTGGGGAGGGCACAGTGAACACTGCACTGCAGACATGCTTTCCACGTCTTTTTTTAGAGCCCCCTGTCATGTATAAAACTTAAACATTTATGCGAATCCAACACTATTTGGTATGTGTGTGGCCTTCATCCAGCAGTGAATTAAGAATGGCTGTACTGCTGGACATCTGTGAAAAAGAGCTTTATAGGTAATCGGGTTCTGACAGTGCATACAGTGAGGGAAAAAAGTATTTGATCCCCTGCTGATTTTGTACGTTTGCCCACTGACAAAGAAATGATCAGTCTATAATTTTAATGGTAGGTTTATTTGAACAGTGAGAGACAGAATAACAACAACAAAATCCAGAAAAACGCACGTCAAAAATGTTATAAATTGATTTACATTTTAATGAGAGAAATAAGTATTTGACCCCTCTGCAAAACATGACTTAGTACTTGGTGGCAAAACCCTTGCTGATAATCACAGAGGTCAGACGTTTCTTGTAGTTGGCCACCGGGTTTGCACACATCTCAGGAGGGATTTTGTCCCACTCCTCTTTGCAGATCTTCTCCAAGTCATTAAGGTTTCGAGGCTGACGTTTGGCAACTCGAACCTTCAGCTCCCTCCACAGATTTTCTATGGGATTAAGGTCTGGAGACTGGCTAGGCCACTCCAGGACCTTAATGTGCTTCTTCTTGAGCCACTCCTTTGTTGCCTTGGCCGAGTGTTTTGGGTCATTGTCATGCTGGAATACCCATCCACGACCCATTTTCAATGCTCTGGCTGAGGGAAGGAGGTTCTCACCCAAGATTTGACGGTATATGGCCCCGTCCATCGTCCCTTTGATGCGGTGAAGTTGTCCTGTCCCCTTAGCAGAAAAACACCCTCAAAGCATGTTTCCACCTCGATGTTTGACGGTGGGGATGGTGTTCTTGGGGTCATAGGCAGCATTCCTCCTCCTCCAAACACGGCGAGTTGAGTTGATGCCAAAGAGCTACATTTTGGTCTCATCTGACCACAACACTTTCACCCAGTTGTCCTCTGAATCATTCAGATGTTCATTGGCAAACTTCAGACAGGCATGTATATGTGCTTTCTTGAGCAGGGGGACCTTGCGGGCGCTGCAGGATTTCAGTCCTTCACGGCGTAGTGTGTTACCAATTGTTTTCTTGTTGACTATGGTCCCAGCTGCCTTGAGATCATTGACAAGATCCTCCCGTATAGTTCTGGGCTGATTCCTCACCGTTCTCATGATCATTGCAACTCGACGAGGTGAGATCTTGCATGGAGCCCCAGGCTGAGGGAAATTGACAGTTCTTTTGTGTTTCTTCCATTTGCGAATAATCGCACCAACTGTTGTCACCTTCTCACCAAGCTGCTTGGCAATGGTCTTGTAGCCCATTCCAGACTTGTGTAGGTCTATAATCGTGTCCCTGACATCCTTGGAGAGCTCTTTGGTCTTGGCCATGGTGGAGCGTTTGGAATCTGATTGATTGATTGCTTCTGTGTACAGATGTCTTTAATACAGGTAACAAGCTGAGATTAGGAGCACTCCCTTTAAGACGTGTGCTCCTAATCGCAGCTCGTTACCTGTATAAAAGACACCTGAGAGCCAGAAATCTTTCTGATTGAGAGGGGGTCAAATACTTATTTCCCTCTAAAATGCAAATCAATTTATGACATTTTTGACGTGCGTTTTTCTGGATTTTGTTGTTATTATTCTGTCTCTCACTGTTCAAATAAACCTACCATTAAAATTATAGACTGACAATTTCTTTGTCAGTGGGCAAACGTACAAAATCAGCAGGGGATCAAATACTTGTTTCCTCTCACTGTACATAAATAATATTGATGGGGGGTGGTTCCATCATCCAGCAGTGAATTGAGCATGGCTGCTGCACTGATGGTGGGTTTGTGCCATCATTCAGCAGTGAATTGAGCATGGCTGCTGCACTGATGGTGGGTTTGTGCCATCATTCAGCCGTGAATTGAGCATGGATGCTCCACTGATTGTGGGTTGGTGCCATCATCCAGCAGTGAGTTGAGGACGGCTGCTGCACTGATGGTGGGTTTGTGCCATCATCCAGCAGTGAATTGAGCATGGCTGCTGTACTGATGGTGGGTTGGTGCCATCATCCAGCAGTGAATTGAGCATGGCTGCTGCACTGATGGTGGGGCTGGCGAGAAGCAGCCTGCACGCCCTCTCCCCTCGTGTTGAATTTTTACCGTCTGACGCATGCGCAGCATCGGGGAGCCCCGGGGGGACGGGGGGGTGGGGGAGAGTCGCTGGTCGTGAATTCGCCTCTCAGCCATTCATTACCAACTCACTACGGCGGTACAACGCGGAGGGACAGAAGAGAGAGAGAGGAGCAAGCAGCAGCCGCAGCAGCAGCAGCAGGAGAAGAGAAAGGAGAGAGGAAGGGGAATCAAGAGAGAGAGAGCCAGAGAGGAAAGAGAATACGGAGGAGAAGAATGGCAGGCGGCGTGGTTCTGTCGGCAAAGAATGCGGCCGCCTCAATTCTGAGGTTGACATCGCAGGCGTCAAAAGTAAGGAACCCTCCCGCTCCCCACCAGCACCACTGCCAAGCTCGTCCACTGCCATCAGCTTTGCGAGTGAGCAGCGGTCGCGATGTTGTTGTGCCGCTGTTTGTTGACGGGTGGTTCACAAACATTTCGGATTGTGCGTGTGTCGGCGTGGTGACGCTCTGCGGTGCGGATATGTGACAATGGGGGGGAGGGGGGGGTGTCTTCGCCTGGACAGACTTGCCCCCAACGGTGTTAAGGCTACACGGGGAGTCTTTGTCTTTGTGTGTGGGGGGAGCGGTGGTGTAGTGGTTAGCGCTACTACGAACCCGGCGATCCGAGTTGGATGCCCGCTCACGGCCAACAACGCCGGTGACGAGGATCTGAAGCGGTCCTGGGCCTCCCCTAGGTCGACTCAGCCTGAAATGAGTACCTGGTGCGGTGTGTACAGAAAAAAACATCGCCACCGGGGGAGACAAAGGCGGCCCCGAGCGTGGTGCTGGCCACCCACCCCCCTCGTGTGCCCGTGCCGGCCTTCATAGGCGATGCTACTCGCTAACAGCACTTGCCCCAACAGTCTGGTACAGGCTATACGGGGGATCTTTGTGTGTGGTGATGCTGTGTGTGTGTGTGAAGGTTGTGGTGTGTGTCGATGTGGTAACGGGGTGTTTGTTATGGTGGTGTGTGTGTGTGTTGGTTATTCTGCGAAATGTGTGCGATTATTAGTGGGGGAGCGGTGGTGCAGTGGTTAACCCGCTGTGCTGCGAACCAGCCGGCAGATTCGGACTCACGGAGCAAGCGCACGTGGCGACTATTTGGTCTTGGGGCCCTCCCCTAGATCGACTCGGTGTGAAATGAGCCGGGGAGACGAAGGCGACCGGGCGTGGTGTTGTGCCAACCTCGCCGTGCCTCGTCGACGCTGCGACTCGGCTCATATCAAACAGCACTCGCCCATCCCATCCACCCCCTCCACCCCATCCACCCCCTCCACCCCATCCACCCCCTCCAACCCATCCACCCCCTCCACCCCATCCATCCCATCCACCCCCTCCATCCCATCCACCTCCACCCCATCCACCCCCTCCACCCCATCCACCTCATCCACCCCATCCACCCCCTCCACCTCATCCACCCCCTCCACCCCATCCACCCCATTCAACCCATCCACCCCCTCCACCCCATCCACCCCATCCACCCCATCCAACCCCTCCACCCCATACATCCCAAGCAGCCTCTGAAAAGGCTTGCACGGGGGGGGGGGAGGGGTGAAATATTTGCCCATTGGCCTATTTACGGGGCCCTTGGTTTATTGCGCCATTCGAGGTTTGCGGATGTGATGGTGGGTTGGTTGCCTGGGTGGCGTGGTCGTGATGGTGTTAAGTGTGGTTGTGGTGTGTCAATGTCATGGGGAGCGGTAGTGTGGTTGTGGGTTGGTGTAACTTGCGCTACGAAGCCGGCCACCCGAGTTCGATTGCCGCTCACGTTTCAATATTTGAACCGGTTCGGGACCTCCCCTAGGTCGACTCGGCCTCAAATAAGTACCTGGTGCGGTGTGTAAAAAAACATCGCCACAGGGGGAGACAAAGGCGGCCGGGCGTGGTGCTGGCCACCCACCTCCCTCGTGTGCCGCGCGTGCCTTAATAGGTGCTCGCAAACAACACTTGCCCCTGTAACTCTGTGTAGGAGGCTACACGGGAGTCCTTCGCCTTTAGTGGCGTGTGTGTGTGTAACCTCGGCTGTTTTGAGTACACGCAGTGAAACACGTGGCCAGGGAGTTCCACTTGCCGAGACTCGCCGGTGTTGTGGCTACGCGTCCTCCTCCCTCATCTCTCCGTGTACATGTCACACTCGTACGTGGTTGTTCCTGTATAGAAGTGTCTCTTAAACTTGACTGCAGCCTTTGGTTCTGAATTGTTAAACATGTATGTTAATATATACATAGGGTTTGATGAAACACAGGAGTTGTAACTCAGGTGCTCGTGCTTAATTTGTGTTTTTAAGATGATTTACCTTGGGGAAAAAAAGATCTGGTCACGTCTCGCACCCCCAGAAAAGGGCATCTCACACCCCCAGAAAAGGGCATCTCACACCCCCTGGGGGGCTGGCGTGCACCTCTAGGTAATGAACCACTGCTGTGTGGCTTCTGTTATTTTGTAGTGCCACGTGTCGGTTCAGCGTGATGTCCGACGTTTCGTCGCAACCCTGTTTTTTTTTGCTGGGAGCTTCTTCCAAACCTGAATGTAAGAACGGCTCGCCTCTAACTTCAACTGTAGTTGAGTCTATGGCCGACTGCTGTTCGTGACCGATGCAGGCTTCGTCAGGCAGGCAGGCTGCTGCTGCTGTGCATCTTCTGGGAGGAGTTTAAACTACTAGACTATTTTATTTTACTAGCGAAGGCCCACTGAGCTTTACTGCTCTTTTTCAGAAGCGACTTGACCACAAACGGTAGCTCAACGAAATGTGGCTCGTCATAATGTGGAAATGTATAGCAGCCAAATACTCTAAATGTAATATTGATTTCTAAATGTGGAGGGGAAAATCCGGAGGACCCGGATAAATTCCACGCGATCACGGGGAGAGAGAGAGAGAGACGCAAACTCCAAATATACAGCAGCAGCAGGCGTCAGGGTCGGGATCAAACCCACGTCCTCCTGCGTGGTAGTTAGCCCATAACTAACTTGTGCATACGAGATGGCAATCTAAAAAGTCCCTTTATGAGACACGTTCACGAACATTTACGGGGTAGACGGGGGGGGGGGGGGGGCAGTAGTCACCTTCCCTCCTCCTTCCCGAAAAGCCATGGGGAACATCTCTAGACTCCGTTCTGTTCTCTTCGCAATTCAAACATTTCACCTGAAACATCGCCTGCCGTTGGTAACGCCGTCCAGCCCAGGGTGCCTGGGTTCGTACCTTGTGCCGGGGGGTTGACCAGTGGGAACACACAACCGGGTGCCGTGGGGGGGGGGGGGGGGGGGTGTGCCCGACTTGTGTTGTTTTAATGGAAAGAGAACGTATGATAATTATAATACACTGTAACGTGGTAAAAAAAAATGTCATGTTAATCGCTTCAAAAAGTCAAAAGAATGTCCACGTGTTCGCGCCATCGTTGTCAACGCGCGTGCCCGGAATCTTCTCCAGGTGATCTCGCATAATTTCTAGTGGTATATTGTTGCAAATTCTCATAAATGTAAAAGCGAATGTGAAAGCAACCCCTGTATGCCCACTACCCCACCCTCACAAAGAATCCAGAACTGACCGGCGTGAAGTGACATTATGGTCAAATTAACCCCCAAGTAGTGGGAAGGCCCTCATCCAGCATTGTCTGGTTTTTGCCGAAATCTCGAGATCTTCACTCCCCATTGGAGGCCTTTCCAGTGTTGACATTAACGCGTTATTGTGTAAGTGTGTGTACACTTTGGCAGCAAGAATGGAAACTTGCTGTACGTATCTTTGCTATTGCCTGCAGTGTCTCGGACGACGTTCTTATAACGTTCCAAGATTTGTTTCGTCTCGCTCTGCGTATCTCGTTACATTCTCCAGCGTTGGTCTGGCGAAGTGTACCCGTGTGTAAGTGTGTACCCGTGTGTAAGTGTGTGTACCCGTGTGTAAGTGTGTGTACCCGTGTGTGTGTGTGTACCCGTGTGTAAGTGTGTGTACCCGTGTGTAAGTGTGTGTACCCGTGTGTAAGTGTGTGTACCCGTGTGTAAGTGTGTGTACCCGTGTGTAAGTGTGTGTACCCGTGTGTAAGAGGGTGTACCCGTGTGTAAGTGTACCCGTGTGTAAGTGTGTGTACCCGTGTGTACCGTGTGTAAGTGTACCCGTGTGTAAGTGTGTGTACCCGTGTGTAAGTGTACCCGTAAGTGTACCCGTGTGTACCGTAAGTGTCCCCGTGTGTGTGTAAGCGTACCCGTGCGTAAGCGTGCCCGTGTGTCTGCCCTGTATACTGTCTGGTCCCCAACTCTTCGATGCTGTAACGTCGTTTGCTCGTCTGGTCATATATATATTTTTATTATTTTACCAGGTAATGTCCCACTGAGCTATGTAGTAGTAGCTCTTGTTTTCAGATGTGACCCGGCTATCAAATGATAGCTCCGCGAAGTGGTTGCTTATGGTCATCGCCAGGGAACGTACAGCGGCCAGAGTAACTCTTAAACGCGTGATGTCGATGCTAAATCTGGTGGGGGGAAAACCGGAGGACCCAGAGAAATTAAAATCCACGCGACCACGGGGAGAGAGACACGCAAACTCCAAATATAAAACAGGCGGTCAGGGTTGGGATCGAACCCACGACCTTCTGTATACCAGGCGAGCTAGTTAACATCTCCTAGCCACCGTGATAATGATTGATAGAGAGACGCAAACTCCAAATATACATAATATTCATAATAAAGGTTTTTGGGTTAGATCGCGTTTATTTATAAATGTGTCGTAACCCTCCACCACCCGACACGGCCAATCAGCAAGTGTCCAAATATACAGCAGCAGGCGTCAGGGTCGGGATCGAACCCACGCTATCCCGTATACCCAGCGAGCTAGTTAACATCTCCTAACCACCGCGGCACCATTCGCTTGTTCCGTCAGCCCACGCAGTTCACTCCCAAGCCCCACGATCCCCATCCACCTCCAGGCGTGGCGCAGTACACAGCCAAAGCGTGACCGATTTCGAACCACCACGTGTACTGTACTCGTGCTCATTCACAAAGAATCGATTCCCGCCAATCGAATCTCAAAAGTCGCGATTCGCCTCAGCGGCCGGCGTGCCGTGAACTTGAGAATCGTAAACTGGCGGAATCGCGCACTTAGAATCGATTCCGAAGCTATGGGGCTTGGGGTGTGCGCTCGTCCAATGGGATTAGGGGGGCGTTGTGGAGGGGCGGGGGGGGGGGCGCTTGGGGTGGGGGCCGGGCTGGGGGTGTGTGCGCACGACTCGCGCTGATTGGCTGGCCGCATTGGGAGGAAATCAGCTGGCAAGTTTCCATGCCCAAGGGTTAACCTGCACATTGGGGTCTGTGCCGTGACCTCTGACTGTCACTTGCCGTGACCTCCGCCTGTCAATTGCCGTGACCTCTGACTGTCACTTGCCGTGACCTCCGCCTGTCAATTGCCGTGACCTCTGACTGTCACTTGCCGTGACCTCATCCTGTCACTTGCCGTGACTTCTGACTGTCACTTGCCGTGACCTCTGATTGTCACTTGCCGTGATCCTCTGCCTGTCACTTGCCGAGACCTCCGCCTGTCACTTGCCGTGACCTCCGCCTGTCACTTGCCGTGACCACCTCCTGTCACTTGCCGTGACCTCTGACTGTCACTTGCCATGACCTCCTCCTGGCACTTGCCGTGACCTCCACCTGTCACTTGCCGTGACCTCCGCCTGTCACTTGCCGTGACCACCTCCTGTCACTTGCCGTGACACTCTGACTGTCACTTGCCATGACCTCCTCCTGGCACTTGCCGTGACCTCCACCTGTCACTTGCCGTGACCTCTGACTGTCACTTGCCGTGACCTCTGACTCACTTGCCGTGACCTCATCCTGTCACTTGCCGTGACCACCTCCTGTCACTTGCCGTGACCTCTGACTGTCACTTGCCGTGACCTCTGACTCACTTGCCGTGACCTCATCCTGTCACTTGCCGTGACCACCTCCTGTCACTTGCCGTGACCTCTGACTCACTTGCCGTGACCTCCGCCTGTCACTTGCCGTGACCTCCACCTGTCACTTGCTGTGACCTCCTGTCACTTGCCGTGACCTCATCCTGTCACTTGCCGTGACCTCATACTGTCACTTGCCGTGACCTCCGACTCTCACTTGCCGTGACCTCCGACTGTCACTTGAACGTGGCCCTCAAAAGTGCACCTAGCCTGGCACACAATTTTAGATTGTTTGGATGATTTTGGCCGATTCTAAATTTTCCATGCTGTAAGCCACTCTGTTGAGCTATCAATGTGTGGCTTTACTCGGTAAGATAAAAAAAAACAATAGTTTTGTTTGTGGCATTTAAAGAAAGTGATTTGTTTGCATTTCGTATACTTTGCATCCCCGTCGTGTTTTTGTATTTTTATAAAATAACGTTTTGACCCGTCCCTACTGGAACATCTGCGAAAAAGAGCTTGATAGCTCATCGGATTCCTCTAGTATAAATACAGAATCTGATATTGGACGTCCGTCAAAAAGATGTTTACAGCCCATCGGATTCACCCTCCGCAAGTGCAAATACACATTCTGACTCAGCTGTTGGTGACGCCACCGCCACTTCGTGCGCGCGAAGAGCACTCGACCCTGGCAGCATGTTAAAGGCTATACGGGGGATCTTTGTCGTTGCGTTTGTGTGCAGAGCATGGTTTGCAAATGCACTTGGGCAAAACAGTCACTGTGTACCCAAGCATGAACTCTACAGCTGTGTAGTTAGATCGCCATCACCTGGTACCTATTCACAAATGTCGACGATAAAAGCCAGTCCAATTAGGCAGTGTGTGTTTCGCAATTTAAACACCTCTGCAATGGTTAGTAGAATTAAATTATCTGGTGATGCTGCTGCTGCTGCTGCTGCGTCAGCAGTGGGTTGCACAGCGATTATTATTATTAACTCGGCACATTCGTCATCAACGCTGTGGCCTTTAAAAATCAAACTAAATATGACAAAAGGCCACGTTTTCCGGCAGTGTCCCTCCTTCGTGACACAGGTGTGCTGTGTTACGTTTCACAATACGGTGCTGTCCATGTATCTTTAAGGTTATATATGCAGACCTATTCTCGACAGTCCTTTTAATCGGGAGGCTTGTGGTGGTCCCCCCCCCCCCCCCCCGTGCATTCCCCGGAGAATTCTGACTGCGTTCTTTTTGGCATTGTGATGTTTCCGTGGTGTGGAGTGATGTCGCTTCCTATTGCTTTGTTACCATTCCTTGACAAATCACCACCCCCCCCTCCTCCTGTGATTGGAACGAATTGTGAAGATTGTGACGATTCGAACCAAGAATGGATTATTATATTTTTGAGTCTCAACCCTCTCATGTTTATTCCTCCTCAACTTTGGTCTGCTTTGCATTTTTGTTTACACCACTTAAATGTTAATTAGCATATGTCTATCCATGTTATTGCCGTAAATTATAACGTTATTTTTACGTTGTTTTGGTGCTAGTATCATGAGCATCAGAATCAATGTTAATCGACGCACCGTTAAATTTTGATTTAAAGCATTCGTGACTGCAGGGATTCATGTTGTTGGTTCTTTCGGTAAAGTCACGTAGAAGGGAAACAAAATATAAAACAATAAAATTCTCACGACGTCTCGACTGCAACACAAGCAATCATCATCAGGTGTGAAAACCACAGCAAGACATTTTTCTTGCTGTGACTTTACCGAAAGAACCAAGAATACAATGCACCGTTGTTACATGAGTGCCATGGTGGAGAGATGTTAACTACCTCGCCTTGTATACAGGAGGTTGTGGGTTCGATCCCGACCCTAACGCTTGTATATTTGGAATTTGCGTGTCTCTCTCTCTCTCTCTCCCTCCACATGGTCGCGTGGATTTTTCTCGAAGTCCTCCGGTTTTTCCCTTCCACATTTAGAATCAACATGCGTTCAAGAGTACTTGGCTGCTGTACATTTCCACGTGATAAGCTGCTTGGTTGAGCTATCATTTGTGACAGCCAGGCCGCTTATGAAAAAGAGCTACATAGCTCAATGGGGCCTTACCTGGTAAAATAAAAAAAGTTCATACTTTTACATCCCTGCTTTTTAGAAACGAGCTACGCATTGGCAACGGGTATAAGGTGACACGGGACTTTCCGTCGTGAACATAAAGACACGGGGACATTTAGTTGCTAGGTTTTCAAACCGACACTGGGGGGGAGGCGGGGGTATGAATATTTCTCCCACGCGGACGCACGTGTCGTGACGGGGTACTGCAAGATCCGACCGTGTCCGTCCAGTGCTCGCCGAGTTGCATTGACTTGCGGTTGCTGAGCGAATACATTATAGGGTCGTACTCGCTGCACACAAAATGCTTGCCACAAATGGACCCCGCAATACCTCGCTGCTGATCTCGTCAAGGAGCATAAAACCATCACGGGAACTCCGGCCATCCGCACAGCAGCGGCTTTTGGCTCAGCCATCGAACGAAGGCGGCCACCACATCGTGTGCTTTTGTGTGCGCTTCTGCGGCCGTCTGGAACGCGCTTCCTTCCGACATTAGGAAGCCGCTGGAGCTATGCACTTTCATATCCAGATTGGAAACTTATTCTTTAAACACTGATTTTTGTGTTCAGTTTGTTGTTCTTCCCCCCCCCCCCCCTCCCGCACCTCCGATTAGCACGGTTGGCTACGTACGGTGCGAAAGAAGTTCAACATACATACACGAGATGGTCACGTGGTGAACCTCACCTTCTTCGTTGGCGACGTCGTGGGTGGGAAAGAACATCCCTTGGGTTTCCAAGTGACGTGCGGGGCACCATGTCACGCGAGCCTTCGCACAGCACACACCACATGTGTCAGAGGCACTTTCAAGGTGTGGGTGATACACAACTGGGGTGCGGCAGTGGCTAGGAGATGTTAACTACCTCGCCTGGTTTACAGGAGGTTGTGGGTTTGATCCCGAACTTGACGCCTGCTGCTGTATATTTGGAGTTTGCATGTCTCCCTTTCTCATCGTGGTCACACGGATTTTTCTCCGCGTCTTCAAGGTTTTTTTCCTCCACATTTTGAATCGACGTGAGTATTTTAGAGTATTCGACTGCTGTAACTTTCCACATCGTAAGCCACTTTCGTTGAGCTTTAATTTTGTGGCCAGGTCGCTTCTGAAAAAGAGCTCTGTATCCCAGTTTATTTGTGGAACTGCCCAGACAGATGTTACTTTTTATAGCAGTGGTGCATCCAAGACGGGAGCTATTTATGGCTGCAGACTGATTCCGCGCGTGGGCGACGCTGCCTCCTGTGCCTTCGTGTGGGAACACCCGAAGCATTGTGGGCGAGATTGTTCTTCCCAAGCCAAGCTGTAATCCAATACGCGGTTATCAGTGCCCGCCTTGTTCTGCGAGAGATTAGGTGAGAGATACAGCATGACCGGAATTTATGATGACTAATTTATCTGAACGTGCAACGGGGGTCGCACAGCGTTCGCCCAGTGCTTCTTTGAGCACCTTACATTTATTTTCACACTTTCTCTAATCTTTGTTAACCCTTTCCCATTCCTATGACGTAGCGTATGTCATCAATTTTTCTTCCGATGACGTACCGAGGCTCCCAGCAAGGCCAAGCGGGAGGGTGTGTGGCACAGTTTGGTGCCACCTATCATAGAGTGCGGTCGTGTCACTACAGTTCTCTGCGGTGCGAGTACGACGTTTTTAAAAACAATGTTGCTACGTCTCTCTAAATGAAATAAACGCTGAACCGCTTTGCGCGATCTGAGATTCAACGTTGAACGGGACTCCCACACCCTGAAAACCTTGTAGACGTCTCGGAACGGGAAAGAGTTAATGTCCACATGTTTCTGATTCATATCCATTAAGTTAAAACAAACTTCCGAGCACAAAGGGATGTTGGAAGGCAATGCGGAATCCATGCATGTGCACGATTTCGCTTCGTCATTTAATTACCGTTGTGATGAATGTAGCCCCTGTATAGTTCGCCACGGGATTACACGTGAATGAAATACGTACAACATTGACACAAATCCACTAGATTTAGTTCTGGGTACACACAATTCCATGCATGGATGACAGGAGTCTAAATCGATCAGTAAATTGATCAGTAGATGCATTGTTACTTGCAAAAAAGGCACCTCTCGCCAGAGGTATGGTGGTAGTGGTTTTTGGATGTGCCTCGCCAAGTCTCGTCGCGGCCTGTTGGACTGTCATGGCCCAGTGAAAATGTTTTGAACCAGTGCTGGGCCTCCCCTAGGTCGACTCGGCCTCAAATGAGTACCTAGTGCGGTGTGTACACATCGCCACAGGGGAGACAAAGGCGGCCGGGTCTGGTGCTTGCCACCCCACCCCTTTGTTGTGCCGTTCCGGCCTTCATAGGTGCTGCTCGCTAACAGCACTTGCCCCAACAGTCTGGTAAGGCTATACTGGGGGATCTTTGTCTTTGTCTTGGTCCTGCTGCTGATTGCTTGCTGCTTATTGCACCTTTTTGCCTCTTGTTGTCTACTCGACTTCCCATTGACTTTTTTTTTTCTCAGTCGAATACGGTGCCTTTTTATTCTAATAAAAAAAATCCCTTGGAAATTATAAATGGTGGATCCATTTGGGTCATTTGCATTCGTTCGCAATTCGAGCCCTTGGCTACTTTCAACACGTTGAGTATTTAAAAAGCACTTTCAACCAAAATGTACTTAGGTGAGCTCGATGCCTGGACTGAATTATTCAGCATATGCTGGCGTCATGTGTGGGATGTGACATAAATACCCAGTTGACGCGCCAAGTTGCGCCTAACGTTGATCCGACGGTTGTGACCACGTGCTAACGTTGGCCCAACGTTGCGTGCCTACCGGGGTATTGCTCGTGTCGGTTCGAGAACCAACGCCTCGCCACGCACACAGGCACGCCTCGATCAACCCACTTTTCACGCACAAATTTGCCCCACTCGCGACAGTGGAACACAGGTGCACACAAACCGCACGTCCGCGGTTCACACGCAAACACGTCTCGCCTATATTTAGATCAGCCCAAAGTTCACACTGCCAGCACCAGCCCCATGTCTAGAGCTCACACTGCCAGCACCAGCCCCATGTCTGGAGTTCACACTGCCAGCACCAGCCCCATGTCTGGAGTTCACACTGCCAGCACCAGCCCCATGTCTAGAGCTCACACTGCCAGCACCAGCCCCATGTCTAGAGCCCACACTGCCAGCACCAGCCCCATGTCTAGAGCTCACACTGCCATCACCAGCCCCATGTCTAGAGCTCACACTGCCAGCACCAGCCCCATGGCTAGAGCTCACACTGCCAGCACCAGCCCTTTGTCTAGAGCTTACACTGCCAGCACCAGCCCCTTGTCTAGAGCTCACACTGCCAGCACCATCCCCATGTCTAGAGTTCACACTGCCAGCACCAGCCCCATGTCTAGAGTTCACACTGCCAGCACCAGCCCCATGTCTAGAGCTCACACTGCCATCACCAGCACCAGCCCCTTGTCTAGAGCTCACACTGCCATCACCAGCACCAGCCCCATGTCTAGAGTTCACACTGCCAGCACCAGCCCCTTGTCTAGAGTTCACACTGCCAGCACCAGCCCCATGTCTAGAGCTCACACTGCCAGCACCATCCCCATGTCTAGAGTTCACACTGCCAGCACGAGCACCATGTCTAGAGTTCACACTGCCAGCACCAGCACCAACCCCATGTCTAGAGTTCACACTGCCAGCACCAGCACCAACCCCATGTCTAGAGTTCACACTGCCAGCACCAGCCCCATGTCTGGAGTTCACACTGCCAGCACCAGCCTCATGTCTAGAGTTCACACTGCCAGCACCAGCACCAACCCCATGTCTAGAGTTCACACTGCCAGCACCAGCACCAACCCCATGTCTAGAGTTCACACTGCCAGCACCAGCCCCATGGCTAGAGCTCACACTGCCAGCACCATCCCCATGTCTAGAACTCACACTGCCATCACCAGCACCAGCCTCATGTCTAGAGCTCACACTGCCAGCACCAGCCCCTTGTCTAGAGTTCAACCTGCCAGCACCTGCCCCACCAGGGCACCACCAAATGTGCGATGTACCAATTTTCTCCCGAACTAACGCCACTTGGTGAATCCTGTGCGTTGACCGTCCAACAAATCTGACGGACATGGAAATGGTGAATCTGAAACACAAATCTTTTCCAGCTCAAACTTCCCACAGCTAAGCCAAGGCTTCCCCCCCCCCCCCCCCCCGTGATGTCGCGTACGTGTGTACGTGTGTACGTGTGTACGTGTGTACGTGTGTACGCGCGTACATTGAACTTCTTTTGCACCTCGCGCAGCCGACCGCACTAATCGGAGGCACACTCCTCCAAATGTTTTCGACTCGTCCCAAAGTTTAATTTTTCTCTCCGTCTTCTCCCCTTCGTCGGCATCCATTCCTTTAATAGTTTTTCTCTCTCCCCCACCCCCCCTTCTCTCATTTGCCAGCCGAGATGTCCCGCGCAACTCCATTTCAGATTTCTTCCTGACTTTGCAAATACCACTGTTGTAGCCCGTGTCTAATTCTCAAGTCTGAATTTTTCTTTGAACAGAAAATCCGGTGAAATACTTGTTAAGTGAAGATGCGCGTGTATATGTGTAGGGAGGAATGTGTTTTTTTTCGCGAGACGCTTATTAATCGGTCACAGTCGTACGTTACGAACCTTAGAAATTACGCAACGACTATAGTTTACAAATCGGAAGAGGGCAAGGCGGATTTTGTGACGAAGCGAGTGTGCGTGTGGAGCGTGTTACTTAGGCGCTGCTGGAGGCAAAGTTGGACAGAGCGAGCGGCGACCATCGTACACTGCGTGACTCTTGCCGCTCTGGGAAGCGATGTAATTCACTCCGACCACGTAACACGCACGGAACCCCACATGCACCTCGTGTACACGTGGAACATCAAAGACTTTCCTGTGTGCGACCTAAGGCGGCGAACTCCCCAAACGATCGAGTCGCACGCCGTATTATATCTTGCCACCGCTCGGACCGTGAGCTTTGAAGGGCGGTGGGTGAGTGAATCTGCAGCTCGCCGGCTCTCGGACAAAGCGATTGCAATGTCTTACCCAACTTGCAAACGAGAACCCTCTTTAACGGTTCAATCAATCGATGAATCTTTTACTTCCTCAATAAAGCGGGCATCGGTGCGCATTACAGCGGAACGGGAACGGTACCGGGGAAGAGGCATGAGAGAGCAGCAACGGGAATGAAAACAGAAACCCAACCCATCACACCCTCGGCGGCTTAACACCCGTCGCTCGCAAAGTCGTACGAAAGAAGAAGGAGCACAAATAGGTGCCGAGTAGCGAAAGTCGACTTACCCATTCGCAGCTTTGTTTTTTTGTTTTCTTGGGCCGTGCGACGTTCGGATGCCGAGTGCCGAAGCTGGCCAAACCGAGCGCGGGTATGCTGGGCAAATGATGAGTTGGCTTTTGCTCAAAGTTCAGTCTGGTTATTCATTTAGCCGTTGAGGTACCCGCGGTGAACTTTTTTTGGGTGGGAGTTGTTTGTCCGCGCGCGTAAGAGCATGCGCGCGAGCGCTGATGCGGCGGTTTTCTGCATCGCCCTTTGGATCCGGCCGCCCAAATTCGATTGCCAGCCATGGATAACATAGGTGGCGAGTGATATCCAAAGTGGGCTGGGACCGCCGTAGATTGACTCGGGGCTTGAATGGGCACCCAGTGAGGTGTGGCAAACTCTGGCACCTGCGCTGGCCACACCGACCCCTTCTTGCGCTCGCTTTCCGGCCTTTATAGGTGCTCGCAAACAGCACTCGACCCAACAGTATGGGGGGGGGGGGGTCGGGGGGGTCATTGTACTGTGTTAGAGAGACGGGTGCATTCAAAGTGTGCGCGGACGCGTGCGTGCCAAATAGCGGCTTGACTTAACGGGTGTGAAAACGCGTCCGGACCTTTGCGTGCGAGTTCACACCAGTTCGTAACCCACGTGAAAACTTGTCTTAGGTTTGCTCAGCCGAGTCTATTTTGTTTGGAGGTGGCGGGAACTCGAGAGACTGGGTTGTGCGTCATTTTAAGAGCCCTTTCCCGTTCCGATGACGTGCGTGTACGTCATCCGTTTGTCTTCCGAATGGGAAGTGAAAGGCCCCGCGGGGAGGGCCGTATGATCGCAGTTTGGCGCCAGCTATCGTAGAGTGCGGTCGTGTCGCTACGGTTCCCTGCGGCGAGTGCACGGTGTCTTTTAAAAACGGCGGCGGCGCTACGCCGTCTCTAAATACAATTAACGCTGAGCCGTTTGCGCATTCCGAGATTCGGCGACGCCGGCATCCCCTGCAAAGCAGACGTTTCGGAATGAGGAGTTACCTGAAGCAGCGTACTCCCTCCAGCAAGCGTGCTCGCAACCACGCGGATGTCCGACCATACATCCTCGCGTGCGATTTTTACCACCCGAAGTATGCAATTTCGCACGCTCGTTGTAAACTAGTTGAGCAGGCTTAACAAGGTGAAGGTGCAGCCCTGCAATGGCTTGGCTCGCGCCACTGCTGCCAGAAGGCACTCTCCACGAGCAGGAGCTCCAGAGAGAGAGAGCCCCTTGGAGAGGGTTTTTTTGTTTGTTTCGTTCGGCCTACTCTTCCGAACGTCTTGGAAGAGGTGGGGAGGCACCACCCACACACATTTGAGTACACTCCCCACGCGACGTGCCAGTCCAAGCGGCAAGGGCCGAGAGGCACCGGCGATTGAGAGAGAGAGATTTGCCTGACGGTTGTCTCGGCTGCCACGCCGGGAGGTCGAATGGAACCGGCGCGACCGCTTGGAGTCCAGCGTCGATTCGTCGTCACACCGTGGGCAGCATCGCCACTCAGGGAGAGCGCTCGTGTTTAGCTCCCGTCCGTGGTGACCGGCGGTGACGGCGGCGACGGCGGTAGCGGTGCCGGCGGCGGCCTTTTCTGCCTGTGATGCCTCTTCTGCTCGTGGTGTTTTTCTTCTAGGTGCTGCCAAGGCTGGGCAACGTCGCGTCGGCGAGGTGCCTGAGTTCGTCGTTCAAGGTGCGTGGTGTGTGGGTTTTCGCCCCCGATTTTTTGACGTTTTTTTTTTGTGTGTAACTTGAGGCCTTCGCCGGCAGCCGTGGGTGTACTGGGATGAATATTGCCATCTCCGAGCCCGCGCGATTTATTTTTTAATTTTGATCCAGTTGTAACTAATTCCCCTTACGCGTTGAAAAGACGGAAGAAAGTTGCACGCGGCGCTTTTAAACGGCGTCTCGTGTCGCAGGTTGAACCCCGGCAGGCTTGTTGGGGTGGTGGGGGGGGGTAGAGGCAGCTTCGTTGGCAGTGACGCGCCCGGCCAGGTTGACGGCCGTTTGACAGCGTCCAGCAGAGCGGGAACAACAACGCTGGAGCTCATCGACGGGCACGGCAAAAAAATAAAACTATAAACTCTTTTTATTTTACCGGGTAAGGCCCCCACCACTGAGCTGCAACATAGCTCTTCTTCAGAAGCGACCTGGCTATCACAAATGATCGCTCAACGAAGTGGCTCATCGTCGTCATCATCGCGTGGAAATGTACGGCAGCCAAAATAGTCCGAACGCGTGGTGATGTTGATTCTAAATGTGGAGGGAAAAACCGCAGGACCTGGAGAAAAATCCACACGACCACGGGGAGTGACATATAAAACTCCAAATATACAGCAGCAGCAGCAGGCGTCAGGGTCGGGATCGAACCCACGACCTCCTGCAATACCAGGTGGCGTAGTTAACATTTTGCCACAGTGGCGCCCCCCAAACACTGTGACCCCTCCCTCCCTCGCAATGCAGGGAGTCGTTACAATTCGTGGATCGCGGTTCAATATTGAAATCTATTTTCAAAAAGTAAATAGATTTTACTTTTTTTATATATATACATAAATGGAAGTAACCAAAAGAAAGGAAGACCTAAGGGAGAATGGCTTGACGACAAGGACGACATGAGAGATTGGTGCCAGAAAGATGTGTGGCCACCACTGGAGCACATTGGCGCTACGAGGCAGAGAGGAACGTGGAAACAGAGCGACGAAATGTGCAGTGGGCACCTACGGGGCTACCTGCACCCATGGATCATGATGATGATGATGATTTTCACTTAATATCCCTTTTACATGTCGTTTGTACTGCTTTGCCCTCCCCGTCTAATTTGTGTTCCGTTAGTCTGCAGGCGACATCTGCACAGGATTGTAATACGTCGTCAATAATTATGTTTCAGTTTTACACACTCGCCATTCGATGCACGTGTTGTGAGCGTGAGCAGCGATTCTTTTTTTCTTACCCTACGGTATGATGCGCACATTTTGAGGGTGCAGTCCTCATCTGAAATGCAATCCCTCTCCTTCAATTATCGTCAATTCTCGCTTCGGTCTTTGAGATGTGGTAACATTTGGACACTTGTAAAAGAACAAAAAAACCTACAAAATGTGAAGTGTATTTTTATTGTAGAACCCGCAGCTGACTCTGCGAGGTACTGGGCCACCACGATGCCGGGATGTTAACTACCTCGCCTGGTGTGCAGGAGGTCACGGGTTCGACGCCTGGCCGTAAATTTTGCACCTCTCGATTCAGCACGGTTGGCTACGTGGGGGGTGGGAAAGAAGTTGGGCGCGCGTACGTACGTACGTACACAGGGGGTGCGTGCGTGCTTGCCGGCTCCCTCCTTTAGGCGTCCGACTTGCAAGTGGAGGTCACGAAGCACGGCGCCACGAAGCCGGACGTGGACAAGCTGGTGTTCGGGAAGACGTTCACGGACCACATGTTCTGCGTGGAGTGGACCGCGGGTGGCGGCTGGCAGACGCCTCGCATCCAGCCGTTCCAGAACCTATCACTGCACCCTGCCTCGTCCTCTCTCCACTACTCCATAGAGGTGCCGGCGGTGGAAGGGGGTGGTGTTGACATGAATTCTGTAAGAAAGTTGTTGTTGTTGCTGTTGGGTTAGATGGCGTTAAATATAAATGCGTCGTGAAACCCGCCGTCGCCGCCGCCCGATGCGGCCGACTCGGTAAGGTTCGTCGCGTCAACGAAACGTGAGCGAGAACTACTCTTTGGTTTTTTCGGTAAAGTCGCGTAGAAATAAGGAATAATAAAATTAGATAATAGCGTAATTCCTGCAGTCACGAAAGCGTCAAATCAAGTGTGAGTGTGAGAACCCCGAACGGGAGTTGAAACCCGGAGCTCTGACAATTGGAGTACGCCGTTTGACTGGCGCTTTCGACCGGCTTGCTCGTGCGGTGGCCAGAGTTGAGGAGGAGCAGAAGAAGTCCTCTCGTTTCGGTCTCGAATAGAGGGTCGTAAACGTGACGTCATCGCGGTGAAGCCTATCAGGTGCGAAGACCCCCGGGGGTGGGGGGGGGTGGGGGGGGGTGGGGGTCAACGTCGTGTACAAGTAAACACCGGGTCATGTTAATCTCACGATATGCCGCACCTATCATCGGTTGGGTGTCTTCGCCGTCTATCGGCATGCATAGATGTACGTGCATTACGTCGACCTGAGAGCGTGCAGAGAATGTGCAGTGCCTATTGGATCCTGTGCTCGTCCGTTGCGGTTCATGGTGCCGATTATGCGGTCCGGCGCCGTGGTTAAGTTGCGCCGGTTCTTTGCCGTCTCCCGCGCAGCTGTTTGAAGGCATGAAGGCATTCCGCGGCGTGGACAACAAGGTGCGAATTTTCCGACCGATGCTCAACATGGAGCGGATGCACCGCACGGCGCTGAGAGCCAGCTTGCCCGTACGTACGCACGCACGCACTCACGCTCGGTGGGAGCTCTCCCCCCTTCCGCCGCTGGTCCACTCCCTCCCCGCCACATCCTCTTTCCCCCCCCCCCTTCCCCGTGCGCCCCCTTATACAGAAATTCGCCGGCGGACGACACCGCACGTCTGTCCCGACCACGTAAAGAAGCATCTTTTTTTACTTTTACCTAAAACTAAACTATAAACATTTTTTTGACTTTTACCTAATACTAGACTATAGACATTTTTTTGACTTTTACCTAAAACTAGACTATAGACATTTTTTTTTAACCACGGTATCCAGCTCTCTTTCAGCAGCGACCCGGGCCACAGACGCCAGCTCAACGGAGTGGCTCGCCACGTGGAGATGTGGAGGGTTTACCACATGGATGTTATCGGAGTTATTTTATATTGGCAGATTCGTACACGAATATTCACCAATGACTCTCACGTAAGATGTAATTCCCCACATTCATGAATCACCTCTCGCGTTGTACCCCTCCCCCCCCCCCCACGCGTACCCCCAGGGGTCCCCGAATACCCCGCCGGTTGAGAACCACTGGTCTACGAGGACACTCGTGATGATTGTATGTCTCTAGCGTCACAAGCGACTTCTCCGTGGGAGCTCTGGTCCCCCCAAAGACAAAGAACCCCCGTATAGCCTTAACAGACTGTAGGGGCAAGTGCTGTTAGCGAGCAGCTGTGAAGGCCGGAACGGTGCACGAGGGGGTGGATGGCCAGCACCACGCCCGACCGCCTTTGTCTCCCCACCGCACCAGGCGTTCCCCTGCCACATGCGCACCTCCTCGGATGGAGGAGGCGAACATCCCGTTGCAGAATTCGTCTCGAATGAACAAAAACCTATTGAGGTGCAAGCCGATCCGAATTATACTTCTGTACGAAAGATAATTGTTAAAATGTAATTGTCAGCTAATTTGGACGAACGCCCCTCCCCATTCGTGTTGGTCACGGGCCCTGTTTGGCCGTACTTCACCGCGCTGGTTAGTGCTGATTAGCAAAAAAGGGGGCGGCTGGGGTTCCCCAGGACTGGCCGAGATATCGCGCGCCCAAAGTTGGCTTTGGCTGGGAATCCAACTTCATTCTCCGGGTTCGTTGGCTCAATGCGCAAACCGCGACGCCGCCGCCGCGAGCGATACAGGCCTCGCGTAGAGCCGTGCCTGCGTGGGCTTGTGGGCACGTGCTTCTGTCTCTGTATATTTTGTCCACGCGCGCACAACGGATCTTTTGTTGTTGTTGTTCCTTCCCGCACAGAGCTTTGACACGGCCGAGTTGTGCGAATGCATCCGCAAGCTGGTGGAGCTGGACAAGGACTGGGTTCCGCACTCGACCAAGGCCAGCCTCTACCTCCGCCCGACCTTCATTAGCACCGAGGTACGGGTCGGAGGCGGCGGCAGCGCATTTATCGGTCTGCGAGGGGAAGCTCCCGCAGCGGGGGCAACCGTTCGACGCGCAAACCTACACCGTTTGTGCGCGTCTGGTTTTTTTTTTGCCTTTGTGTCGCGCGCAGCAAACGCTGGGCGTGTCGCGGCCGGGCCGGGCCCTGCTCTTCGTGATCCTGTCGCCCGTCGGGCCCTACTTCAGCACCGGCGGCTTCAGCCCCGTGGCGCTGCTCGCCGACCCGCAGCACGTCCGCGCCTTCAAGGGCGGCGTCGGCGATTGTAAACTCGGGGGGTGCGTCCGTTACATCTCACCCGGCGCCCCCCGGGGGTGGCTGTATGAGATGATGACTTGCTTCGCCTGGTATACGGGACACCGTGGGTTCGATCCCGACCCTGACGCCCGCTGTATTATTTATTTGGAGTTTGCGTGCCTCTCTCTCTCTCTCTCTCTTCCCGTGGTCGCGTTGATTTTTCTCCGGGTCTTCCGGTTTTTCCCTCCACATTTTCGAATCGACATCGCGCGTTTAGAGTAATTGCCCGCAATACATTTACACGCTATAAGTCACTTTTTTTGTTGAAAAGCGCTGTATATCTTAGCGGGGGCCTTAACCCGGTAAAATAAGAAATAGTTCAGTTTAGTTTGTCTCTCTATCTGTCTATACATGCAACGTGTTCTACAAGAGGCTCCTGCTCAGCCCTGGCACAGCACTCCACCGGAATATCTCGTTCGATTGCCACGTGCAAGACACAGCCAGGTCCCTGCAATTCTCATACCCGGGCTCTACGACACATTCGGCCACTCGCGAGTCGTGACGTAGCCAACGCGCTGGCGCGTGGCGGTGTATCGTGGACGGGGGCCAGATTTATTGCAACTCTTCGCGGCTCTACGGGAGGTCTGCCAAAAAACATTGCCAGGCTGCAGCGTGGGCAAGATTCTCTGGCGCCGCGTCGTGCCGCGTGCCGCAAGATCCGACCGTGCCCCGCTCAGTGCTCGCCAAGCTGCATTGCCTTCCGATTGCTGAACGAATACATTGCAAGGTCCCACTCATTGGATGCCGAGTGCTTGCCACAAATGAACCACCAACACCCCGCTGCCGATCCCGTCCAGGAGCATAAACCGTCATCGCACGCGCTCCGGTCATCCCCGCAGCGGCTCTTGGCTAAGCCATCGAGCGAAGGCGGTCGCCGCATCGCACGGTGCTTTGGGATGCGCTTCTGCGGCCGTCTGGAACGTTCTTCTTCCTTTCCGAAATTATGGAAGCGACTGGAAAGCTACGCACTGTTGAATCCTCTCGATAGAAAACTGATTTATTTAGAACTGCTTGTTGTTGTGTTTCGTTTGTTGTCCTTCCCCCGCACCTCCGATTTAGCACGGTTGGCTACGTACGGTGCGAAGTAATTTCAGCACACACACACGCACACGACAATACGTGCAATAGTCTCGTCCAATCGAAGGTAAAGTTCAGTGTTCCGCGTGTGACGCTGTGCAGGAACTACGGCCCGACTATCTACGTCCAGAACCTGGCCATTCAGCAGGGCTGCCAGCAGGTGCTGTGGCTATACGGAGACACTGAGCAGATCACGGAAGCCGGAACGATGAACCTCTTCATTTACTGGATCAACGAGCAAGGAGGTTTGGACCTGAGCCATGCTCTTTCATTCGCCGTTCGAAAGCCACGCACGCTGACACCGCAATCCAAATTTGCCAAATATAAAAAAAAGGCTCACAAATAACTCGATTTTGGGATTGCATGCGTAGCAATCATCCCCCCCCCTCCCCACTCGACTGGCAGACTAACGTCTGATTGCAGGCCGAATCATCCTGTGCTGCACAGCAGGGACAGCTGCCGCTGGGGGTGCCCTGCTGGGGGGGGGGGGAGGCGGGGGGACGCGAGCCGCTTACCGCTTGCGAAGTGCTTGGGGAAGCCCCCGTGGCTTAAAGGGCGCTCGGTCGACAGCACGAGTCGTTGTTACAGACCATCGTTACTGCTCGCTTGCTCGCCGTCATGACTCCTCACTCACTCACTCACCATCGTTACTCCTCTCTCGCTCGCCGTCGTTTCTTCTCACTCGCTCGTCGCTGCACGTGACTTCTGCAGAGGAAGAGCTGGCGACTCCACCGCTGGACGGCATCATCCTGCCCGGGGTGACTCGCCAGAGCCTGCTGGACCTCGCTCGGCAGTGGGTACGTGTCTGGGCTGTGTGGGTACGTGTCCGGGCTGTGTGGGTACGTGCCCGGGCTGTGTGGGTACGTGCCCGGGCTGTGTGGGTACGTGTCCTGGCTGTGTGGGTACGTGTCTGGGCTGTGTGGGTACGTGTCCTGGCTGTGTGGGTACGTGTCCGGGCTGTGTGGGTACGTGTCCGGGCTGTGTGGGTACGTGTCCGGGCTGTGTGGGTACGTGTCCCGGCTGTGTGGGTACGTGCCCGGGCTGTGTGGGTACGTGTCCGGGCTGTGTGGGTACGTGTCCGGGCTGTGTGGGTACGTGTCCGGGCTGTGTGGGTACGTGTCCGGGCTGTGTGGGTACGTGTCCGGGCTGTGTGGGTACGTGTCCGGGCTGTGTGGGTACGTGTCCGGGCTGTGTGGGTACGTGTCCGGGCTGTGTGGGTACGTGTCCGGGCTGTGTGGGTACGTGTCCCGGCTGTGTGGGTACGTGTCCGGGCTGTGTGGGTACGTGTCCGGGCTGTGTGGGTACGTGTCCGGGCTGTGTGGGTACGTGTCCGGGCTGTGTGGGTACGTGTCCGGGCTGTGTGGGTACGTGTCCGGGCTGTGTGGGTACGTGTCCGGGCTGTGTGGGTACGTGTCCGGGCTGTGTGGGTACGTGCCCGGGCTGTGTGGGTACGTGTCCGGGCTGTGTGGGTACGTGTCCTGGCTGTGTGGGTACGTGTCCGGGCTGTGTGGGTACGTGTCCGGGCTGTGTGGGTACGTGTCCGGGCTGTGTGGGTACGTGCCCGGGCTGTGTGGGTACGTGTCGACTGCGCTGGGGGTCCGTGTGTAGGTATGGTTGAAGGACGACAAACTAAACGCAAACCGGTTCTAAAGAAATGAGTTTTCAGTCTAGCTGATGATTTAAAAGTGCACAGCTCCAGTGGCTTCCTAAAATCTGAAGGAAGACCGTTCCAGACGGCCGCAGAAGCGCGTCTGAAAGCGCGCGGTGCGGTGACCGCCTTTTTGTTCGACGGTTTAGCCAGAAGCCGCTGCTGTGTGGATGACCGGAGTTCGCGTGATGACTGTTGATGCTCCTTGATGAGGTCAGCGAGGCATCGTGGTTCATTTGTGGTAAAAGTGCGCCGTGGGTAGCCGACCACGCCGATCGTGGTCGGCTACCCACGGCGTTGCCGAGAAGCATCCCGACGAGGCAGGCGCCCGCACGAAGGAAGACTTTTCGAAACAACTCCGCGTGGCTCTCCCCCCCCCCCCCCCCCCCCCCCACCGAGACACGCGTCTTCATCCTGACAACGCTGAGCTCGTCACGTGCGTTGCTGACGACGACGATGTCGTCATCGTCATCGCCGTTGTTGTTGTTGTTGTTGTTCGGTCGGTCGCGTCGCTTTGCGTCCAGGGCGAGTTCAAGGTGTCCGAGCGGTACATCACCATGGCCGACCTGCAGAAGGGGCTGCGGGAGAAGCGTGTCAAGGAGATGTTCGGAGCTGGAACCGCGTGTGTGGTCTGTCCCGTCGACAGGGTACTGTACCACGGACAGGTGAGCACCCGATCCTGGTGAGCGGGCGATACGGCTATGGCGGAGCCGGCGTCGTGTGGCATCAGAAGTCATCCAGTCGGGGCACGGGGGGGCAGAACGTTACAATGACAAACGATTACAATAGCACGATAGGAGTGCAGAGTATAGAAAAGGTAAGAAAATCACTTAAAAATATTAAAAATATATATTTATAGTAAGGCCCAATTAGCTACATAGCTCTTTTACATTAACGACCTGGCCACAAATGATAGCTTAACGAAGTGGCTTGAAAGTAGCCAAATACTCTAAACGCGTGATGACGATCCTAAATTTGGAGGGGGAAAAACCGAAGGAACCGGAAAAAAATCCACGCGACCACGGAGAGAGAGAGAGACGCAGACTACAAAAATACAGCAGCAGGCATCAGCGTGGCGATCGAATCCACGACCACCTGCATACCAGGCGAGGTAGTTAACATCTCCTGGCCACCGTGATAATGATGAGAGAGAGAGAGACACGCAAACTCCAAAAATACAGCAGCAGGCATCAGCGTGGCGATTGAATCCACGACCACCTGCATACCAGGCGAGGTAGTTAACATCTCCTGGCCACCGTGATAATGATGAGAGAGAGAGAGACACGCAAACTCCAAAAATACAGCAGCAGGCATCAGCGTGGCGATCGAATCCACGACCACCTGTAAACCAGGCGAGATAGTTAACATATCCTGGCCACCGTGATAATGATGAGAGAGAGAGAGAGAGACACGCAAACTCCAAAAATACAGCAGCAGGCATCAGCGTGGCGATCGAATCCACGACCACCTGCATACCAGGCGAGGTAGTTAACATCTCACCAGTGGCCTTAGCGAGCGAGCGCCTATGAAGGCCGGCACGGCACACGAGGGGGTGGGTTGACCAGCACCACGCACGGCCGCCCTTGTCTTACCGAGTGGCGATGTTTACCACACACCGCACCAGGTACTCATTTGAGACCGAGTCGACCTAGGGGGAGGCCCAGGACCGCTTTAGATAATCGTCACTGTTGATGATGTTGGTGTCCGCGTGCGGGAATCGAACTCGGGATGGCCGTGGTGTCGGTAGCGCGGCGCGCCCACAGCATCTTTGTGCAACAGCGGCAGCATCGCGTGCTGCGGCTGCGTTTTCTATGGTAGGAATCCGACAAGGCGGCAGTAGCGTTGTTGCGCTGTCGCTGTGCTGAAAGAAGTCGCTGACGAAGTCACTCTCCGAGTAACCAAACCTGCGTGAGGCACGGAAAAAGTTTCCGCGACAGCGACCTTAAGAGTGTAACAGCAGTGATGCCGTCACCTGTCCGTCGAAGGCAGGGGTCGGGATCCTTATCGTTACCGAGGGCCCGAGTAGGATTTGGCCACGGGCTGGCGGCCCGCGTAACTTCTCTGAACCCGCACCCAACCCCCGACCTTGTCGCAACGTGCGTAGCCAACCGTGTTTATCGCAGATGCGGGGCAAGGACAACAAACTGTGGGTCTCTGTGTGAGTCTGGGGGAGTCTCTGTGTGAGTCTGTGGGTCTCTGTGCGAGTCTGTGGGTCTCTGTGTGAGTCTGTGGGTCTCTGTGTGAGTCTGTGGGTCTCTGCGCGAGTCTGTGGGTCTCTGCGTGAGTCTGTGGGTCTCTGCGTGAGTCCGTGGGTCTCTGTGTGAGTCTGTGGGTCTCTGTGCGTCTCTGTGGGTCTCTGCGTGAGTCTGTGGGTCTCTGCGCGAGTCTGTGGGTCTCTGCGCGAGTCTGTGGGTCTCTGCGCGAGTCTGTGGGTCTCTGCGCGAGTCTGTGGGTCTCTGCGCGAGTCTGTGGGTCTCTGCGCGAGTCTGTGGGTCTCTGCGCGAGTCTGTGGGTCTCTGCGCGGGTCTGTGGGTCTCTGCGCGAGTCTGTGGGTCTCTGCGCGAGTCTGTGGGTCTCTGCGTGAGTCTGTGGGTCTCTGCGTGAGTCTGTGGGTCTCTGCGTGAGTCTGTGGGTCTCTGCGTGAGTCTGTGGGTCTCTGCGCGAGTCTGTGGGTCTCTGCGCGAGTCTGTGGGTCTCTGCGCGAGTCTGTGGGTCTCTGCGCGAGTCTGTGGGTCTCTGCGCGAGTCTGTGGGTCTCTGCGTGAGTCTGTGGGTCTCTGCGTGAGTCTGTGGGTCTCTGTGTGAGTCTGTGGGTCTCTGTGCATCTCTGTGGGTCTCTGCGTGAGTCTGTGGGTCTCTGTGCGTCTCTGTGAGTCTCTGCGCGAGTCTGTGGGTCTCTGTGCGAGTCTGTGGGTCTCTGTGTGAGTCTGTGGGTCTCTGTGCGTCTCTGTGGGTCTCTGCGTGAGTCTGTGGGTCTCTGCGTGAGTCTGTGGGTCTCTGCGTGAGTCTGTGGGTCTCTGTGTGAGTCTGTGGGTCTCTGTGCGTCTCTGTGGGTCTCTGCGTGAGTCTGTGGGTCTCTGTGCGTCTCTGTGGGTCTCTGCGCGAGTCTGTGGGTCTCTGTGCGAGTCTGTGGGTCTCTGTGTGAGTCTGTGGGTCTCTGTGCGTCTCTGTGGGTCTCTGCGTGAGTCTGTGTGTCTTTGCGTGAGTCTGTGGGTCTCTGCGCGCGTCTGTGGGTCTCTGCGTGAATTTTTGTATATATGTACGTTGGACATCTTTTGCACCGTATGTAGCCGACCGTGATAACCGGAGGTGCGGGGGCTAACCTGCGATGGGCGTCTTCCGTGTGCGTCAAACGGTGCGCACGCTCGCTCAGATTTCGCCGCTGTCTCAATTTTTTGGTGTTTTTGTCCAGAACCTTCACATCCCGACGATGGAAAACAATGGCCCCAAGATCGCGACTCGCTTCCTGCAGGTCCTCACAGACATCCAGGTAAGGACACCACCCAGAATCCGCCCCCACCCCCCTCCCACGCCGCGTCGATCACGGCGGCCTTGTTTTGACGATACAGCCTGTCGTTCGCCTATACGGCGGTCGTGGTAGTTGCGTTCCTCAAGAGCACCGCGTTATGGAAAGCTGTCGTTATAGTAAATCATCTATAATGTAGGGGTAAAGCTCGGTACGCGATAACGCGTGACATGCGTACACGGGCCCGAGCAAAGACTTTGAGGCGCGTGGGTAGCATCTCGAAGCATCCAGCAGCATCCCAATGACTTGCGTGGTGACGCTACGCCGAGGCAGCCGTAACAACGTAGTTTCCGTTCGCTCAATCGCATTATATCCAGTTCGCGTCCGCGTCATGAAAAGACTTGTTCCCCAAGGACATTAATCGCGTTGCATATCCAATTCGCGTTGTGAAAACCACACGCGGCGTTTTAGGAGAGCCGCGACTGCTACTCCGCCACGCAGGTCGGTGCAGGTTTGGTGAGAGGGGCGTTGCTCGGGAATGGGAAACGCAGAGTCGCTGCAGTTCGTGCGCCCGCTGCTCCCTGTTCTACGAAGACAAAGACCACCACCCCCCCCCCCCCCCCCCCCCCCCCCAGTGTAGCCTAAGAAGACTGTCGGGGCAAGTGCTGTTAGCGAGCAGCGCCTATGAAGGCCGGCACAGCACACGAAGGGGTGTGGATGGCCAGCGCCACGCCCGGCCGCTTTTGTCTCCCCGGCGGCGGTGTTTTTTTTTGCGCACCGCGCCAGGTGCTGAACTCAGGCCGAGTCGCGACCTAGGGGGGGGGAGGCCCAGGACCGGTTCAGATAATCATCGCCGGTGTTGGCCGAGAGCGGGAATCGAACTCGGGTCGCCGGGATCGTCGCGCAGGCAACGACACGTCCGTGTGTCCCAAATTCGGGTCCGCGTTCTCTGTTTGCACGCGAGAGACGGAGCTTTTTTGGTGTTGGTAAGGACCCTGGTTTTTGTTGGGGGAGGAGGAGAAGAAGAAGGTTTGGTAAACGCGGAGGTGGCAGGGTAGGGGCACGTTGGTAACGCTCTCACTGGACATCTATGACAGAGCCTCACAACGTCGGACCTTTCTTGCCAGTATCAAAATGAGAATCGGTTTTCCCCTTTCTGGCAAGAAAGAGGCCCCATGTTGTAGCTGTTCACGAGCTGTGAATGCCCTCCTCTGGTCTAACACTCCTCTGGTCTAACACTTTGAGACTAGGCCCTAAAGAGAGCTGTCTCTGGTGTGGACCAATCAGTTCCAAAGGCAATGCATCAGATTACTACCAGAGCATGTTTGTGTTTTGTATATTCACGACCAGAAATTGTGTAGTCGTTGATGCAGACACGATTCCTTGCCAAAGGTTTCTGTTTGGTGTTTCAACATCTTAACACTTCCTGTTTTATTGCCAGAAAGGCTAAAATATATTTTTGCAAAGAGCCCTTACAGCTCGTGGGATTCCTCCAGTGTAAATAAATATTTTGATTCTGACCCATGCCGATTCCCGGCTCGTGTGCCATTCTCCGCCGAGTTTTGTACCTTCTCTCCCCGTTCTGCACGGGGTTACCCCTCCGGATTCTCCGGTTTCCTCGTGTGGCTTAAACAAAAAACACACACGCGCGCATTTGCACGCGTAACGCAACCGGTATTGATCCAAACATTTCCCAGTGCTAAAGAATCGCCTGCAAATTACTCGGTTGGCACGAAGCGTGGCAACATCGCCGCCCACCCCCTTTCCGAGAGAACTTTGCAGCATCGTCCTGAAAAATGAAAAGATCTTGAGGCTATTTCTCGGAAAAACCAGCGTCATCGCAACAACAACAGTCACCATTGCGGAATGTTGCACCGCGGTTGGTCGGAGGTTGCTGGGGTTTTTTCTAGAACTATTGACGTGAACGTACGTACGGACGTGTGTGTGTGTTGGACGTGGGTAGCTCACTTTGCGGACGGCGCATATCGGAACGGCCGCGATTGCGTACCTCGCGAGCGATCTCGAAGGTAGCCCCGCTGTTCACGCGCTGTTCACGCGCTGTTCACACGCTGTTCACCGTCTTCGCTCTCTTGTGTGTTCTTTTTTTTGTTGCAGTACGGACGAACCGAGAGCGAGTGGATGCACCTGGTCGATTAATACCTCGCCTCGCGAGCAACGAGCGGGCGAAAAAAAACCCCCCCCACAGTTTGCACAACGGGGAAAACACGTGCGCCCTTCGCGAGGAACGCCGAAGTCCGTCAGCAAATCGCACCTTGGGTTGAGACCGCGAAATCGAAATATTTGTATCAACTTCCTCGACAGCTCACGTTTACCCGACCAGCCTTATTGGCCAGCAACCTTCTCTCACTCTCTCTCTCTCTCGTGGAACAAGCTGAGCCCTTCATGTGAATGTATCTCTTTTGGTCTTCTCTCTGCCTGTCTGTTTGTCGGTCTCTATATACCTGTGTATCTTCCTCTGCGTTTGAGCGCTCTGGAAATTGGCCTCTTGCAGTGTTCTTCACTGATTGTCAGAGGGGGGTGGTGAGGGGGGGGGGCATTTCCCCCTATAAGACATCATCGGTGCGAGGGCCGCCACATGTTTGAAACCAATGGGGGTTTGACAGCAGCACGATGATGATGATAACGAGTGGTGTTTTCACTCTGTGGTGCCTTGCGATGAAGAACACTGCGCAATTGCTTCTCACATTAACGTTCTGCTCTAGTTCTGTAGTTTCAAGATACTCGGACCACTGCAATAACAGGTGATCCTTCATTGTAAAAGTTTACTTCGTTGGCATTTCAGCTTCCTTTTATTTCTGCTAACCACATCGCCGGATAGACACACGTGTGAGAGTGTAATTTGTTCTCCGCGCAAAGGGCAATCGCAACGTTCTGGCGACGTTGGGGCGGCAACCCCCACGTCAGGCGAGTTTGTTGTGACGGCGCTCGCCACTGAACCGAATGCATTTCCTCTTGTGCCCATTTGCGTTTTGCAGAAGTGAACATTTTCAAGCTGCACGTTTTCAGCATTTCATAGTCGTCGTCTGCACCCCTGCGCGAGCACTTGGGGAAATCGGGGAAACCACTATTCGCGATTGTCCTGACGGAGCAAGCCCAGTGTACACACATGGGCGGACTAACGTTGCCCCAATGTTGCCCCAACGTTGCCCCAATGCTGGAGCAACGTTGGCCCCAAAGTTCCATGTTTATTCCCGGGGAGTGAGATGAGCTCATGTGCAAAGTGGTGCATTTTGACATATCAGGACTGTGGGATGTTGGCTGTCGTGGGCAGGGCCTTCATCATCCAGCAGTGGATAGACAGATGGTGATTAACATGTCACTATGAAGGTGTTGATATGCTAAATAATAGCACCAAGGGGAAGACAGCCTACAGGCTTAGTAATGTAAATCCGGCCACCCTCTTTCCCGTTGCACGCATACCTCTTAGGGTGCTCGGGATGCGTTCTTGGTAAGCCCAGCGCTATACGAAACGGCACTAATGGGGGTCGTTATAACATGGTTCCAATGGAGATGCGTTACCTACAGAGCTTGCTTTTTTTCTTCTTTCACCTATGAGCGATATGTTGAGGCTTCATTGGGGTATCGGTAATAGCCTTAATAATGATAGTGTACACATGGTAAATGTATTAAAGCATTTTATAAATAATAACATTTACTGATAATGAAATGAAAAAATATATATAATAAGTTACCTACTCAGCGGTGCATTCGGTCGGAGCTTGCAGAATATTAACCACACAATGCCATTAGCGATACCAGTGGCATTCTTCAACCCACGGATGACCAATGAATCCATGCAGTGATTAACCCCGTGATGGATCGACACTCTTACGTGGCTGTCCCATCGAACTGAGCGCAGAGTCGGTACAACGGACGCCTCGATTCCAGCTTCCACGAGGCCAAATATGGGCGGAGACGTGTGATCCCTACGGGGGCAATGCCACGCCTCCTTCCTTCCTTCCTTCTATATATGGGCCGATCCGAAGCTGGAATTTTCCTCCGGGACGAACAAACGTCGCAACGAAACGAGCGCTACGAGAGGCATGCCTGTATTCCTTTTCTGAACGGGGGTGGGGGGGGGGGGATAGGTCGGGTGTGGGATCCGAGACTCTTCCCGGCACCCCCTGAGAAGAGTCGAACTCGTGGCGGGATCGCCCACTCGGGCGACTTCACGTGCGGTGTCGCCAGCCCCGAGCGGGGAGCGTCATCGGCGTCGAAACCATCTCCCCCCCCACCCCCCCCCCCCGTCGTGTCCCCCCCTCTTCTCGGTGGCGTCACGAACTGAAGCCGCGCGGTTTTGATTTCTCCGTTGGTGCCCTCGACTGCGGAGCCGTGCTCGACGCACGTGCCATGCCACCGCGTTACGTAACAAGTCGTGTGAGAGGGGGGGAGGGGGGCGCTGCTGCGGTGTCGCGGATCGCGGGCGGTCGGCGGCGGTGCAGCTGTCCCTGCGATCCGGAGGTCGCCGGTTCGATTCGCCCGGTTGTGACGTCACAATCGGGTGACGTCACAATGGTCGGCACGGAGACGTGTTTTGACATTCGCGGGCGACCGCGCCCCCGGCGGCTGCCTTTGTCTCCCTCGCGTCGATGTTTTTTTTTTTTTGCACACCGCGACCGGGTAACTCGTTTGAGGCCGAGTCGACTTAGCGGAGGCCCATGGCCGGTCTGGTATTTAATCGTCAGCTGGCGGTTGGTGGCCGTGAGCGGGAATTGAACTCGGCACGCCCAGGTTCGTAGCGCGGCGTGCTAACCGTTGTGCCACCGCTCAATCTCTTTTCCCCCCCCCCCCCCCCTGGACGTACCCACACGTATTTAATGCCGTGGGCCAATTTGCTCTGCAAACAACAACGAAAAGCGTTTTTCTTAAAAAAAAAATACAAAAATTCCCCAAAGAAAGTAAAAAAAAAAATTGTGCCACGAACGCTAATGAACTTCTTTAAAAAAAAAAAATTCAAATCGTAAGCAAAACACTCCTCTGTGCTTTACAATCCTGTTGTCACGCCACGATGACAATTCTACAGAACTCAACCCCGCTCGGTTTAGTTTAGAGGTGCGCGTTTAGTGTGTGGCGTATAGGTTCCGGTCACTTTTAAAAAGAGATTATTTATATGCAGTGCTTGTTTGGAGTACGCTGTATGCCAGCAGTGGTTGTAGGAGCTCGCCTCCACGTATTAAATTGGCTGAACTACAGATTTCGATTTAAAGCTTTCGTGACTGCAAGGATTCATCTTCTTTGGTTCTTTCGGTAAAGTCACCACGTAGAATGAGAATAAGATAATACATTAATAAAATAAAATAACACTAAAATTCTCACGACGTTTCGGCCACAACACAAGTGGCCTTCATCAGGTGAAGGGACGAGACTGTCTCGAGGACAGCGCTGGAGCGGACACAGCCAAGCTCAGACCGCGACCTTGAAGCCTAAAGGTCGCGGTCTGAGCTTAAAGGTCGCGGTCTGAGCTTAAAGGTCGCGGTCTGAGCTTAAAGGTCGCGGTTTGAGCTTAAAGGTCGCGGTCTGAGCTTAAAGGTCGCGGTCTGAGCTTAAAGGTCGCGGTCTGAGCTTAAAGGTCGCGGTCTGAGCTTAAAGGTCGCGGTCTGAGCTTAAAGGTCGCGGTCTGAGCTTAAAGGTCGCGGTCTGAGCTTAAAGGTCGCGGTCTGAGCTTAAAGGTCGCGGTCTGAGCTTAAAGGTCGCGGTCTGAGCTTAAAGGTCGCGATCTGAGCTTAAAGGTCGCGGTCTGAGCTTAAAGGTCGCGGTCTGAGCTTAAAGGTCGCGGTCTGAGCTTAAAGGTCGCGGTCTGAGCTTAAAGGTCGCGGTCTGAGCTTAAAGGTCGCGGTCTGAGCTTGGCTGTGTTCGCTCCAGCGCTGTCCTCGAGACAGTCTCGTCCCTTCACCTGATGAAGGCCACTTGTGTTGTGGCCGAAACGTCGTGAGAATTGTATTGTGTTATTTTATTAATTTATTATTTTATTCTCATTCTACGTGGTGACTTTGCCGAGAAGAACCAAAGAAGATGAACTACAGATGTAAAGGAAAGTCTCTGGGACTGCAACGGGGGGGATGCCTGCTCGCCGAGCTGTGGATACGCAGCGAGTCCTCGTTTAACACGGCAGTCGTAGTGCCACGTTGAGCGAAAACAATTTGCCCGTAAATAATGTAGCGACGATGGCGAGATACGGTGTACTACTAGTGCTACTACGCGCGCGCGCACACACAGATGGTGGGAACAGATAACTTAAGGGTACGGCCGTCGCGTTGCTGTATCACTCCGCGAAGTGTGTCGCTGTACCGCTCGGCGGCTGCGTAGCTCATAGAAAGTAGTTCGTCGTCGACCGCTCAGAAGCAGCGTCATAACGCCGCGCGCATCCCGCGTCACGCAAAAACAAAGTGCCCCTCTGATAGACAAAAAAAACCGAGGTTGTAGCGAAAACGCGTTGTGTGAGCACGCGTTAAGCGAGGACTCGCCGCGTATTTACTCCACACGGTGCTCGGAGGATTTAGCTCTTCTTGGGTTTGTTGTGTGCAGCTATTGTCCGCTCTTGGTCGTGTGCGATTACACCACGTTTGCACGATTTCCTTTTTTTTGCGTTTCTGTTGCGATGCTGTTCGTCTGCTTCTACAAGTGAAGTGATCGTTGTTTTTGTCATGTGCGTTGCTACACACGCAATTTTCAGTTAATTTCAAATCCGTGAAAATTTAACATCCCTCTGTCGTTAAACTATAGCCGTTTGCGGTGTCTGGAAATGTTTGCCGTCTGTAAGTTAAATTGCTCGTTTCCGCAATAAAACATATGTACACCTGGCAGTTTTGACAGCGTGTTTGCCTAAGTACCATAGGTAAAATAGGGCCTTACACCGGTTATTATCTGCCACAGTGGCTAGGAGATGTTAACTACTTCACCTGGTACACAGGAGGTATTGGATTCGATCCCGACCCTGACACATGCTGTGTATTTGGAGTTTGCGGTGTCTCTCTCATCATCACCGTGGCTAGGAGATGTTAACTACTTCACCTGGTACACAGGAGGTCGTGGATTCGATCCCAACCCTGACACATGCTGTGTATTTGGAGTTTGCGGTGTCTCTCCCTCTCCCCGTGGTCGCGTGGATTTTTCTGTGGATTCCTCAGGTTTTTCCCTCCACATTTAGAAACGCGCGTTCAGAGTATTTTGAATGCTTTAAATTTCCACGCGATAAGCCCACTTCGTTGAGCTATCATTTGTGATGGCCAGGTCGCTTCTGAAAAAGAGCTACATTGCTCAGTGAGGGCTTTACCAGGTAACATAAACATTATTTAGTTTAGTTCAATAACTGGGACGCGATTATTTACAGCCTCACAGCAAATTGCCAATGGCAAGGGGCATTCCGCCCCCTACAGTGAGGGGAAAAAGTATTTGATCCCCTGCTGATTTTGTACGTTTGCCCACTGACAAAGAAATGATCAGTCTATAATTTTAATGGTAGGTTTATTTGGACCGTGAGAGACAGAATAACAACAAGAAAATCCAGAAAAACGCATGTCAAAAATGTTATAAATTTATTTGCATTTTAATGAGGGAAATAAGTATTTGACCCCCTCTCAATGAGAAGATTTCTGGCTCCCAGGTGTCTTTTATACAGGTAACGAGCTGAGATTAGGAGCACACTCTTAAAGGGAGTGCTCCTAATCTCAGCTTGTTATCTATATAAAAGACACCTGTCCACAGAAGCAATCAATCAATCAGATTCCAAACTCTCCACCATGGCCAAGACCAAAGAGCTCTCCAAGGATGTCAGGGACAAGATTGTAGACCTACACAAGGCTGGAATGGGCTACAAGACCATTGCCAAGCATCTTGGCGAGAAGGTGACAACAGTTGGTGCGATTATTCGCAAATGGAAGAAACACAAAAGAACTGTCAATCTCCCTCGGCCTGGGGCTCCATGCAAGATCTCATCTCGTGGAGTTGCAATGATCATGAGAACGGTGAGGAATCAGCCCAGAACTACACGGGAGGATCTTGTCAATGATCGCAAGGCAGCTGGGACCATAGTCACCAAGAAAACAATTGGTAACACACTACGCCGTGAAGGACTGAAATCCTGCAGCGCCCGCAAGGTCCCCCTGCTCAAGAAAGCACATATACATGCCCGTCTGAAGTTTGCCAATGAACATCTGAATGATTCAGAGGACAACTGGGTGAAAGTGTTGTGGTCAGATGAGACCAAAATGGAGCTCTTTGGCATCAACTCAACTCGCCGTGTTTGGAGGAGGAGGAATGCTGCCTATGACCCCAAGAACACCATCCCCACCGTCAAACATGGAGGTGGAAACATTATGCTTTGGGGGTGTTTTTTTCTGCTAAAGGGACAGGACAACACCGCATCAAAGGGACGATGGACGGGGCCATGTACCGTCAAATCTTCGGTGAGAACCTCCTTCCCTCAGCCAGGGCATTGAAAATGGGTCGTGGATGGTTATTCCAGCATGACAATGACCCAAAACACACGGCCAAGGCAACAAAGGAGTGGCTCAAGAAGAAGCACCTTAAGGTCCTGGAGTAGCATAGCCAGTCTCCAGACCTTAATCCCATAGAAAATCTGTGGAGGGAGCTGAAGGTTCGAGTTGCCAAACGTCAGCCTCGAAACTTTAATGACTTGGAGAAGATCTGCAAAAAGGAGTGGGACAAAATCCCTCTTGAGATGTGTGCAAACCTGGTGGCCAACTACAAGAAACGTCTGACCTCTGTCATTGCCAACAAGGGTTTTGTCACCAAGTACTATGTCATGTTTTGCAGAGGGGACAAATACTTATATGCCTCATTAAAATGCAAATCAATTCATAAAATTTTTGACATGCGTTTTTCTGGATTTTTGTTATTCTGTATCTCACTGTTCAAATAAACCTAGCATTAAAATTATAGACTGATCATTTCTTTGTCAGTGGGCAAACGTACAAAATCAGCAGGGGATCAAATACTTTTTTCCCTCACTGTATGTATGGCACTAATCTACCCCTGTGTCGCTGGTCAATACCGCTCATTGATAACAGACAACACAAGTCAAAGTTTTGTTGTTGTTGGTGTTTAGGTTTGTACACGAGAGACGATTCGCATTGGAAAGCAAGCTACACCCACCATGCCTTTACAATGCCCCTCCTCCCGCCCCAACTCTAGGAACCAAATCAACACTAGTATTATAACTATAGGTTTTTACCCTTTTATCTGGAAGCAAAACTGATACCTTTTTACAAGGGATCATGCTTGCATTAACCACAACACTTGCGGTCAAAATGCAAACAAAAAGACAACACTGATAATGTATTGGCACGGTCCTTGAAATTGATTGGTCCACACCCGAGACAGCTTTTCTTAGAGCCCAGTCTCGCATGGTGTTGGACCAGATGACGCCAAAAGGCGTACAACTCAAATACAACGAACCATCAGAGTTCATGGTGCGTCTTTGAGTTATACGCCTTTTGGCGTCATCTGGTCCAACACCATGCGAGACTGGGCTCTAAGAAAAGCTGTCTCGGGTGTGGACCAATCAATTTCAAGGACCGTGCCAATACATTATCAGTGTTGTCTTTTTGTCTGCATTTTGACCGCAAGTCTTGTGGTTAATGCAAGCATGATCCCTTGTAAAAAGGTATCAGTTTTGTTTCCAGATAAAAGGGTTAAAACCGATTATTATATCTTGCTGCTGGCAAAGGGGAGGTCTCGTAATGTAAAATCACGACACTTCCGAAAGGTGACAGCAGGTGGCGCTCGCCGCACGTGGATAGGCGGGAGCCGTCGACAATGATGGCAAACTTGGCAAGTGACGGAAGCGGGCGTCGGTAAACACTGCGTGGCCTTCAAGAAGGGGGAACGTGCATGTTCAGGCGACGTTTCGGGAAATTTTCCCTTTCTTCGTAGCACATGACAGAGGCAGGCCTGAGAGGTGAGAGTTGGTTAAGAGTTTTGAGACCGCACCT